AGGTTGGAAATATTGGAAGTGGACTTCGCAGGTTTTGTTCTTGAACTAGAATTCAACAGAGGCATATTGTACCTATGTATGGTGTCATTGAATGCAGTGATATTGTCATTGATACGCTCCGCAACAAAGTTCTGGTACTGTGCTTTGCCTATGTCTTCTGCGGACCTTATAGTATCTACCACACTATCGGACATTATCTGTTTGGTATCAAGAAAGCCTTCTGCACACGTGGTATTTGTTCATGGTGGCGTTCTGTGTCCTTCTTTTTAATTGAATGTTTGTCATCATACTCCATTAATAGTCTAGCTGTTTCTGGACCTGCCACCATCCACCGTCTCAGTGCTGCTTCATTTTCAGTGATACCTATTACGCCTCCATCTCCCTTCACCATTGCATTCAGCTGTTCATGAACTTGATTATGGGCTAGTTCTGAGAATTTGTGCATGGTTTTCTGTGTCACAAAGTTGCCTTTGAGAAACTCTGCATGTGTGGCAGGGCAGTTAATCTCGAGGGCAAGTTTATCTCTCACATGAACCGTCATCCAGCGAGCATAGTGATAGTGGTCAAGAGCGAACATTCACGGAATAATCTTTCCAAGTGACACAACACATAGGCAACATATTTTTGTTCACGCTGTGATCTAAGGAACGACGTTTTGGCAGGCACGCAGGCGTACCTTTCAAAGTGTAACAGAAATTATGAACAGAAGTATAGATGGCATTATTTTTCATCATGATTTTTCACATATGTGTAACAGAGTTCTTTGACCTAAAAACATTTTATATTGTATTTGTTTAATTTGAAGATGTATGTTAGGATATTGCATGTTTTCCATCAGGTTTCTTGACATAAAAACTGGCATAGATACCTATAGATCCTGGTAATCGTGGCACGTATAGCCATTTTATGGCAAAGAAATGCGTTTGTGGCAGCCATTTTGGATTAAATTTTTTGGGCGGGAAGATGTTATGATAGATCACAATGTGTTCTATACCCGTTCTATGGGGTTCATTGACCTCAAAAACATATGTATAGAGACCAAGATCATGATACTTGGTGCACTTACAGCTGATTTATGGGCAAAACTGTGTTTTGTGGTGGCCATTTTGAATTTTCAACTTTTTGGCAGGAAGATATATCTTATGATATTTGACAAGAGTTTTATTGCATTCTTTGTCTTCAAAAACATAGGTATAGACGCCAAGATCTGGTAATCGGGGCACAAATCAGCTGTAAGAGAACCGTTGAAGTGACATCGTGTTTCCCGCAATTTTTGAAATCAGCATACTCAAAACCCCCCTAGAACAAATTTTCATGCTTCTTTCATGAAGTGCACACTTTAAGTAAAAAATGTCACATATCATGCCACATCATGTCACATCACATGCTTAGCATAAATAAACGTTGTGTACCTAATTATGTCTGGACATCAGATACCTACATGGTGGCAGCGGTAAAGACCATCGCAGTGTTGAAATAACACTCCGGTGAACATCTGTATGACATTGACAGTGTGTTGGCCAGCGCCAGGAGCGAGAATTTCGAATTTGTCTGCACCGACCTCAGTGCCACGATTACGTAGCCATAATTAGGTACACAACATTTATTCGTGCTTAGCATAAACATGGCCGAGCCCAGAGAGGACTGCTTTCAGTAACAGTCTACATACGCGGGTATACGCGTAGTGATGAGGCTACAAGGTAGTTCTGCATAATGTTACAAGAAGAAGATTACATTCATAGTATACAGTATTTCAAACAAGGGTCCATATATAGAGCTAATTTTCAGTTTACTTATTCAATCTCAATTACAGACGAAATAACAAAGCAGCTTTAATTGGGCTACATATAAGATATCAACACGTGACATAACCAATGCGAACCGTGTATGCAACTGTTACAATCACGGGAACATGCTGCAGTGGGGTGGAGGCGTATGCCACAGAAAACATTAATACCTCTTGTTGCATTCCCTCTATGCTCTACTATCAGTTTTGTTACAAAACCTCGTACACAATCTTGGTTGTGCTTAATTTCGGCATTTTAGCGGCCCTTTTACCCGAGAGACGGGGGGCGGCGACTACTCTACTGTTTTATGCACGCGAGTGCACGTGCGTATATATATGTACACACACGCGCACGCACGCACGCATACACACAATTACACACATACATGCGTGTGCGTGTAAACTGCAAATATATAATATACACTGTATGTGCATATTTACAAACATACTTACAAAATTATGCACAGTAACAATTTTATAATACACTGTATTACATGTACAATGTATAATCATGTATAAAATTTAAAGTATAATTAATATAATTTAGAGCTCATTTTTGTTTGAACGGTTTAACAATTATATATATATATAATATAGACTTATTTATATATATAAATTGATTCATAGGGCGAATGAAATATCTTCGTGGAATGAAATTATTTCTCCGTTATCTTTCTACATAGTCTATAGCTATTGCTCAGGAAGCAGAGTAAAATTATTACTATATCAGTGTTACGCACCACAGCATTTATATTTATCATTATAGTTACTAGAGTTACAGACGATGCTGACACGATGCAAACATAATGAAGAAAATTTTGGAATATTTAAAAACCTTTAGTTTTTAAATTTTATATAAACATGCACTGAATAAAACTTTCATATAAAAATATGGATTTTTATTCGATGACAATTAATCTGCTATAATCATATTCCAAGAATAAGACTCTGCTATACCTACACTCACAATAGGTCATCATAGATACGCACCCTATTTGCTAAATCTATCGGAGATTCAGAAAAATAATTTTGTAATTGTCATACTGATCAGAACAAATACCTGTCATCAGCGACAAAGGTGTACATATATATATATATATATATATATATATATATATATATATATATATATCACTTTATACACGTGCTGTGTGTTTGCGTAATCTACACAGAAGACTCGGAATTTGAAGAAATGCTTTCCTCCTCTCCGTACTATTCTATCTTTGCAGTTGAATCGTCTGTCTTGAAAGCGTCGACTGCGTACTTATATCCCGGAAACGCTTGGAAGAATGGGTTACTGGGCGCGCTGTTGCCAAAATATCCTCTGGGTGTGTCGTTAAAATATGGTCCGCGCAAATTCTTTGAGGATGGATCGGATGTTTCAACTGTAACTGTATCTTTTCGATCGGGGGTCGATGCTGCACTGCTTTTCTGTGTGTTGCTTATTAGATGAGTGGGAGAAGGGGGTGGTGCCACACGTGCAGACGGCTCGTCACGTCTGACTGCCGGGTCGTATCGTGGGGGTGCAATATACGGTAGCCGAGGCTGATGTTCAGCTGAAGGATCACTTACTGCAGGAGCAGGGCGCTGGCTGAACGGTCTAACGGATTCATATGGTGACAAAATTGGTGCTATTCCCTCCGGGTTTTGGCTGTACGTGGTGGGCCGTGGAAGAGCCTGTGGTTGGACATTGCTCTCCGCTTCTTCCTCAACAATGAGTTGTGCAGGAGCTCCATATATTTGGCTCGGTGCCTTTGGCGCTGAAACTTCGTATCTTTTTCTAGTAGATAAGTGTGGGTGCTGCTGATATATTTGCCTCGGAGCTGGCCTCTCGTATTTTGCACTGGGAGGTGGTCCTTCCTCGTAAGTTTGCCTCAGAGGCTGAGGTGCTCTTTTGTAGCTTTCCCTTGGAAATGTTGGCACCTCGTAACTTTGACCTGCATTGGAAGGTGGTCTTTCATACGTGGGGCGAGGAGGCGCTTGCTGTTCATAGTCTCGCCTGGAGTTCTCAGCTTGGACAGTGCGAACTGGTGGGCTTTCGTATGCTCGGTCGGATGGTGGTGGTCTTTCATACTGAGCTCCCGGATTCGATGACGCACTATCATAATTTTGTCCAGAATAGGTTTTGCTAGAAAATGTTCGTGGCCTTGCATAGATCTGGTCGATAGATGTATGTGGACCAATGTATACTTGACCAGTGAGTGCAGGTGGACTATCATAGAGTTGACCAGTAGATGTGGGAGAACCTTGATAGTCTTGTTTCGCGTATGCGGGTTGGCGATCATAGCTTTGGCTAGAGGTAGGAGATGGACCTTGATAACTTTGGCTAGAATATGTAGTTGGAACATCCGGGCTTTGGCTTGGGTATTCGGGTACCCTTGCATCTCTGACATTCGGATATGGTGGTGTTTCGTGCTGTTGATTGTATGTTGGCGGCAGCTTCTCGTATTGCACCGGACGTTGTTCAACATATTTCGGAGGCTCTGCATAGATCTGTCTATCAGATGGTGGAGCATCTGGGGGGCGTTCAGATTTTGCAGCTAGTTGCTTTTCGTACTCAGCTGTCAGCTCTCTAAAAAGCGGAGGAAGTTCGTAGCTTTGCTTACTAGTAGGCTGCTGGTGTTCTGGCTGGCGTGGTGGAGGCTGTCTGTACGCTGGTGCAGAGTCTCGCGGGTCCTTTACTGCACGTACGGGAGGAGTGTTACGATTGTACTCGTCTTGAGGTTTCGGTTGACCATATGATTCCTCGCTATTCACATCTGGTTGTTTATATTCCGTGGCCTTTTCCGGCGGATTTAGACCAAACCCTGGAAAGCCTGGGAACTCAAATCCGCTTAAAGATGGATGCTTGAAATCTGGTGGAAGTATTTTTATCGCGGGAAGCGAAAATTCCAGAGGAGATCTGATCGGTTTGTTATGAGTCGGTCGTTGGGTGTAGGACAATGAATCATCGGTGTCAATCCTACCATTGTCTAATCTTAATTTATAGGGCCTTGGTTGACTTGTTGGCGCGGGTGGTGCCTCATATCTAACATTTTGTCTATCAGTAGGTGGTGGTGCCTCATATCTAACATTTTGTCTATCAGCAGGTGGCGGTTCCTCGTATCTAACGTTTTGACTATCAGCAGGTGGCGGTGCCTCATATCTAACATTTTGTCTATCAGCAGGTGGCGGTGCCCCGTATCTAACGTTTTGTCTATCAGCATGTGGCGGTGCCTCGTATCTAACGTTTTGTCTATCAGCATGTGGCGGTGCCTCGTATCTAACGTTTTGTCTATCAGCATGTGGCGGTGCCTCGTATCTAACGTTTTGTCTATCAGCATGTGGCGGTGCCTCGTATCTAACGTTTTGTCTATCAGCATGTGGCGGTGCCTCGTATCGTTGCGTTAGAGGTAGGCCTACTCTTCCTGGTGCCTGTTGCACTTGCTGGCCGTTACCGCCGTACCGCGGTGTCCTCGGTGGAAACGAATATGTTATTTCTTTCGCTGGTAATTGTTGATATCTCACTGGTTCGTTGTATACAATTTTTTCGCGACCTAGTATGCCCTCATTGCCTGGGGCATTTGGGTCTCCAAATGAGAGAAAATCAATTCCCGCAAGCAACGGATGTTCAGTGGTGGCTTGCGGCTGTGATTCCTGTTGTCTTGCGTTGAATTCTTGCCTTGGCGGAGGCCCTGCGTATGCTGGTGGCGCCTCGCGTGGTTGATATCTTTGTGTGGGTCGCTGATATGAATTTTCGTATTCTACTTGCCCGCGGCTGGGTGATGAATATTGGATATATACACCCCGGTTTTCTGATGGTTCGCGTTGTTGTTGAACTGGCCTCGCGTACGTTTCCTGTGGTCGTGTATACCTTGATGTTGCCGGAGGGCGCTCCGCCTGGTACGGAATCTGCTGCTGTTTACTGAACGCGACTGCATCATTATATACGCCCGGCAGCGGCCCTTCGTAGAACGGTGGTATGTTGTAAACGTCCTTATTACGCGATGGCTGAGTGTACGACTGCTCGTTAGATGCTTCGTAAGTAGCGCGAGTGGGAGGTGCAGGAGCAGGGTACAGATCGGGACTGTGCGGGGTCGTCTCCCTCTGCAATACTTGGAACGGCTGCTGTTCGTACTGCCTCGTCCGCGAGCTATCGTACGTCGCAGGTCTAGACGGACGCGACGGCGGCGCCGGATCGCGTCTTATTCCCCGGATGTTGGTAATCGGATTTCGATGCACTGCTGAGCTCGGCCCGTATACGCTATCCCTCCTGCTCGTGTAAGTGCTGACGCTCGGAGCGACCTCTCGCGTGCGTGGCGATACGAGGCCGGTTTCCCTGGAGGCGGAATGAGGTTGGTCCGCATGCCGAGTAGGAACCGGGTATCTGAACAACGAGGGCACTGCTTCTGCGGTCACCTGCGCGAAAAGTAACGTAGATTGTAGATACACGCGTAAGCACGTAATATATGCTGCGCCATGAAAAACTCGGGAATGCGTTTCTTGCCGATTTGTCACAATGTTACAAAATCCCAGTCACTGAATCACGGAATCAACCCCATGTAAAAAGGGGCTATCATATATATCATTCAAAAGTGTGAACATCAATTTGATCCCATTGCTTAACAGTTCTTACCAGTAACCTAGACGTATATGCATCTACGATGAAAGCCATTTCAACCTGATAGTAAATTTGGGAGTATACGAAAAAGGGCAATAGTATACGTATGTTGAGCACGTGCACGTACCTTATGAACATGCAGATCGATCACACTGCATATAGATTTGCAAGAAATTACTCGCGGGGTATACGGTATATACTGTCAGGAATGAACAAACACATTGTTTTTATTCACTACTGATACAATATATAGTATACTACCATACAATATACATATAGTTCTTACCAGGATCAACAGCAGCAGGCCTATAGATGTCACGGCTCTCATTGCGGATTCTTCTCTGCACAGCAGCACAACGCGTTATCCCTGAAACAATATCAATTACGCGTCAACTACGGGCGAAGTGTTTCATGCATCATTCCTGAACCGCCTACGCATAGTGTAAACATCTGTGAAAAGACAGTTAGTAAAGTAAATAGTACACTTATGTGATTTTTTTCCTATCAGGAGCCTTCAAACTTGTGTAGGTAAAATACCTAAAACGATGGTAATAATGTGTTGTTTGGCGAAATTACTCATGGAGTTGTTTGTAAAATTACCGCCTTCGGTTTCACTTAAACTGTTCGTGCCAACCTATTTTCTCGAACAAGCAGAATTACTACCTAATTGGGCGAGTGTGTTCGATTTTTTAGCATGACACAGTTTTATGTTGAAATTTTATCAACACATGCGCTCTGGCTGATTGCCGTAAGACCTAACTGACCTCGTGACATGTGGAGGTCCGAACAGGTATTGTCTATAATTCGAGATGATAAGAAGTGCTTATTTGTCCATGCATGCATGCCTGAACGCAAGCACTTCCACACAACTACTCCATTGTCAGCCGCCGACAGTAGGCCTATGTAGCCTTAGTGTGTGTGTGTAAATACTCGTTCTGTTTGTTGCTGAAAGCGCCGCCCGGGGGAAAAATATCGTTTTCTTCATGTTGCCATACAGAAACGGCCAGAATAAGAGGAAATGAAAAATATATCCCTTCCGTATTAACAGCAATCTTCCTTCACTCCACCCAGCATTTTATATAATAAGATAGGATACGTGCGGTTATTTGCCTATTCTTAGAGCGCTTATATTATCAAGATAAACTTCTGTAGGCACCCTATTCCATGTCGCATCACATGTGGACCGACATGGTCTCGAAAATATTTGCATGTTTAGGAACACTCAATAGTTCACTCTTGCTTTTACATTTTCGTTCAAATCGTGCTTGGATTTGCTTTTTGAAATTGAAAGTTTTAATAAATGCATGTTGCACTATAATTAAGTGCGTGTTCGTTGCTGTGTGCGTCATCAAAGGAGTGAACTCGCACTATGTGTATATTACGTATATATATTCGTAATATTTAGTTATATAGTAACGACGAGAAATATTTCAACTGTTTTATTTCTTGCGTATAGCTTTTTTATATTGCTAAGTTATAACGATGGAATAAATAATAATATTTCAGGGTAAATTTATGGAGTTTATGGCTATATCAACTGACATATATTCGGTATGGTTATACATACATACACTAGATATTACATACACTAGTCGATACATTTAAAATAGAATGATAATTTTATAGCGGATAACAAATAGTATGAAAATTAATTACCAGTATAAAAATAAAACATGTCGACTTGATGAAATTGTATGTAAATACTATATTCATGATATTAAAAGTAATAAAAAACATCGCGAACTAATTCGGGATAAATCGATCTACCTTATGGAGATCTCGTTGCGAGCTGTTCTCGTTGGTTCGCTTACACCGCGCCTGCCTGCGTTGTAAGTTTGCTCGCACAAGTCACAGAAATTCAGGCGCACCTACTACTGCATCCATCCACACGTTCGGCATCAGTTTTGAAATGGTGGCATTTTGTTTATATACATCGCCGCCGTTCCACAAACCTGATTATCCGTGGTAATTGACGACACTTTTGAATCTACACGCGTGTCTCTCTATGGAATTCATTCATTCGGTCTCGATAGGCAGAGAGAGAAGCGCCTGCTGTGTAAACCGTGGAAGAGTAAACTATTCATCACACCACAGCGACCGGAGCGGTCACAGGTCAAGATCTCGCTGTGACGCTGCGTATTGTAGCTATATAGACATCAATTACCTACTTACGTATGATAAGAGCTTATAAGCTGTGGCATGGCGAGGACGCCGGATTTAAGAACCTTTTTTAAAAGCATGGGCAGTTGGGTTGCTGATCGCCAATGTTTGCGGTAGGTTGATATTTGATACCAGGTTACGTGATACGCTACACTATACGATTTGCTTTTCGAATTACCGCGCCGAGAGCACACATCTCTATTATACTTTCAGAAATTGAAATGTCACGAGATTAGTTTTTTATGCGCGTTATTATAGTTCGTATGTCGTTCGAATTATTTGAAGATTCTATCTTCCAGCTATTATACATATAATGTGATTAGTTTCTCTAGTTACGACTTACGACGCTGGATTGGTTCTACCAAACGAGAAACTATAAATGATTTCGTAGGGAATAGTATTGCTGGTAACAGGAGCGTTTAATTGTGAGCAGAAGCTTGATATTGAACCGCGTATTATTACATTTAAAAACCGTTGTAGAGTATTGCTAACAAAGCGCAATTGATAGTAAGAAAAAGTTGGCGAGTCTCACGAATAAATTGAAGTACAAATGTCTACGGCGCACATTATCCTATACAATTTCGATATACAAGTGGATTGTGTATGACCTTTGGTTTTTTAAGTCTGACAATACGAAATGGCCTTCAATATGATAAGTAAATGCTTTGAGCAAATATCTCATTTAACGTAAAACGTTTTCCTTCTCATATCCGCGCAGCATTCTGGTTCTAACAAGCGAGAGTAGCGTGCAATAAAATAAAATTTTTCTAAACAAAATTTAAATCCCACGAATATGACAACGTGTGATATACATAAACAATGATGTACTTGAAGTTATTCGGATGTAAACCAAGATAATTGCAGCTCTGTTTTCGATTCACGCGGCTGCAACCATGCCTGCCAGTATTTTTGTATCGAGGTCACAATTACACGACAGCTGTCGAACATGTATAGTAGCTTCACGGAATAATCACGCGGGAGTCCTTGAGGTGGTTGTTACGCGTATTATATGAAAATTACGTGGAAATTATACGCAATATAACAAATTGACCGATTATCACGACGCTAATAACGGCCGTCATTATATCAATTTTAGCGGGAATTAGATCCAGTTATAATTGTTCATAAACAGCTTGACTAACAACCTAAATCACGACGCACACGCGAACACACATGGTGCAAGTACGACCGTACATGGTTCGGTCATTTCGCCTTCCGATTAACAGCCCGTGATGCGTCGTTCCTAACTCAGCTTTTAACTAAAGCCACGAGGAATCTTACGTGAAATCGTACGATTCACCGTAAGCATTGGTGTCCGTGTGCAGTGTCTGACTGCCAATGAGAGCAGTATTCATGTAAATGGCTTCACACGTACTATTCGTGTCCGGTCATCGTCTCTGAGATTACGAGAAAACTTTAGCTTGAAAGCTGCCAGGTTAAAATCCAGCCTGGAAATTTTATTGATATCTATGCTTCCACACAGCATTTGTATGTATGTATTTCATCGGTGCGTTCTTGATATCCAAGTGTTTTTATTCAACGTATTTACATGTTTCGGTTTCGGGGACATATCAGGCAGCATGTAAGTTTAAAGGACGCGAGTCAGCTTAAAGGGATACTTTCCCCTAGAATTTTAGAGTATATTATGATAGTAAATGCATAAATAATAGCATATACCTACAAATTTCTATCATTACGCATTCACGTTCGTCATAAAATAACATCGAATTTCAAAACCTTCATTTTTTGGGTGCTGACATGACACCAGCAATTGTGCTGCCAACCTAAAAAAAGTTGCACATTTGCACATTTATTTTGCACGTTACAGACCGAGGGCTAATTACAAAAGTGCAATTATATTTCTACCTAAATGCTATTTAACCGAACAATATTTATTTTAGGACAAATTCGTCCATATTATAACTGAAACCAAGTGTCGTTTATAAGATATTGCAATCCTTCTGCTCTTAAATTAATAAATAAGAAACACCCTCGGTCTGTAGCCTGCAGCCGAAAAGTTGCTTTGCACAACTTTTTCTGTGGATGCGCTGCCAGTGGCGACACCGTCGTTGTAAGCAACGGTATAGCTGTTAGTTTTGAAACATTAAAAAAAAAGATTTCTATTGAATATTGAACCATAAAACTTTATGTAGCGTAATTTTAACCTATATTAAACTGAAACTACTGAAAATATCCAATGAACCCTACAGTCATGCTAATTTCACGTATTGCATATTGCAGTATTGGATTTAGCAATATTGCTAATTTCACGTCTTTTTTAATAATACGTTCTAAATTTAGTCAGCCACCTCATATGTCAGCAGATATTTTGTAGGTAATACAATTTCTCTGCAAGTATATCGTAGAACTGTTGATGAGCTCGACCATCACTATAAATTAAAATAGTAATACGATCAGGTTATCTTTCACATTATAATAAAACTGCTCAATTTTTGTTGAGAGTTTACTCAAGTATCATATGAGAACAAACGCTTTCCCTGTAAAAGTAGTTTATTTATAACAATACCATTAACGGCCAAACGTTTTACTGGTATGTAGGTTAATAACATTTAAAGATTTCCTCTCGATAATTACTTTAAATTGAACGTATATTAGATGACCTGTATTTTGTTACTAATCCAAATGCATCAAAGTGTAGCCAGAGCTTGTACATGTACACAGATGTGGGTACTTCGACACGCGCTCTATTTATGGAATTTCACTTTTGAACACAGTTGTATTTACCAATATAATTTACACGTCATTTACAATTGCTAGACAAATCACTGCATGGGTGCACGTGAGTATTTTCACCAAGCTGTATCATTCCTGTTGAGTCAAAAAAACACAAGATTGAGGACATAAAGATATATGCTGACATCCCAACTATTTCAGTGTGATTGATTTATTATGACAGCACATTTTTAATGTTATAATAAGCTGTCTACTTGAGAAAGGATATTACTGTAACGTTCAAATTAATTCTTTATACAGTTCTTACACACTTGAGTGAATTCAAATATTAAGATAAGCACTGTAAGTACTTTTAGTATTACTAAGTTAATTAAGTGCATAGAATTCACATAATTGAAGCACTAGTGACATTGATTATTGCACACATGCACTTAATTATGCCATAACGATTTATCTCCCACTTTTAGCCTTGGAAAATAAATGTATTCAAAAGACTCCAAGATACTTTTGTCAGCAAGAAACAGGAGGTGGCCAATCAACATTCACTGACTGAAAATATGAAAACATTACAAATAGTAAATATCTTAAAATGAACTACAATCGGATGAATAAGTGAAAGGTGATTATTGATGATGTTGTAATCAATAGACTATTCTATACTTCTTATCTAAACCACTCCAATAGTTTTTATTACTAAAATGTCATGTTTAAACATATATGGTTGGTTGAATTCAAACGAGAACAAAAGTGAGATGGCAGATTTAGAACATAAAGTTAGATCAGGAATTTAGTAAATAACACAACCGAAAATAATCTTCTAGCAACTAAACACAATTAACTTGATAAACGGTCCCGCCATTTATTGCAACGTGGGATTTGTAATGTTTTTATGTGCAGTCAGACTCACACTGAAAACTGATTGTGTAAGGCAACTGATCCGTGGCACCAGATATTTCATGCATGAATGCCTCAGAGAACATCTGCGATTTTTTATGTAGGTTAGTGGTTTTTTTTAGCAAGCAAAGCTTAGCTTATTATATAATACACCTTGCATTAGTAAATGTAAGTAAATTATATATCAACTATAATAAAGAGTACATTCAAAAAGAAAATTACACATTCTGTATACATGTTTGATACAAATCTTGGCCTTTGATAGACATGAGTTTAGCAAACAATATAATCAGTATGTGTGCATAACACATGCATATACGTGAAACAGTGTTTGAACATTTTTTAAGTGACAATACTGCCAATTAACTTATTAAACAATAAAACTTAGTTTTAGTTTAAACTTTAGTTTATAAATAAATTATGCAACATGTTGCTAATTTAACAGCTGCATCAAAGACCAGGATTGGAGTCACTATGATATATGCAATAGTAATACAATAAACTATAATACATGATATGATATGATATAATATAATATATAATATAATATAAACTGATATAAGCAGTTTATCATGAAAAAGTGAATGCAAATAAGTTAAGTGTTGTCTTAATTTTTACCTCAACGCACAACTTAGTATAATAATAGGTCGAGGGTTTATAATGGTGCCTGTTTAGATATAATGAAACTATGTGAGTGCATGCTGTGATTAGTGAATAAGTATAATACAAGTGAGAAAATTACTGTCTTCTCAAATCACATGCAGCTACGTTTTTACTCACAAGGACATCTAGCTCAAGTATGTCTGTCTCTACATTCAGCAGCATTGTCAAGTTAGGAACAGTTCGGCCGAAATCTCCGTGAATGAACTCCTTAACGTAACTGAATGCATGATCAAGGACTGCTAGCCACACACAGTATGCATTCATGACGTACAGTATGTCTTAAACAGAGAGGTCTCTCAAACAGATTAAATTGCACAAATTCGGAGCGATAGCAAAAATTAACTGTACATTCCCCGTAGCCAACAAGTGTACACCACATCAATATACAATAGGCTACACTGTTTTCTGAACTAACCTTACCATTATCGCAAAACCACAGCAACCTAACTTAACTGATTTTCATTTCAGAATTGTGAACAAAAAGACACTGAAGAAGGATACGTTCCAGCATTGGTTTCCAATTCCAAATTAAAATGGTGCTTGTCTATGAGCGTCGACTTCATTTCCAGAACCAATCTCTTTCTTGTGTGTAATGGTCGCCTGTCATGAACACGTGCAGAAATACATCAATTGCTGGTTTGAATTTTGCTACTGTAAAAGTACGATAACACGCATGTGCAGTTATGCAATCGTGATAATGGTAAAACATGACACAATATATTGAGAAATATATACAGCATACTTATGCCATAATTATGCACAACATGCGAGTATAATTACATTAGACAAGCTTACAAAATATACATTACAGTACCTGTGTAATACCCTAATTGGAGTTTTTTGCTCTATCTCTAGATTCTGGAAAAAATATATTAGTGCATAAAACCACGAATGTCATCATTGCATGGAGAAGACATCTACCACGGACTGGTTGCACAGAACATTGACGTACAGTATGTACGTCAAGTTCATGTTCAATGTTCAAGTTCATGTTCATTCTCAAGTTCATGTTAACTGGTTGCACTAAATCAAACTTGTGCACAACTTAATTTATAGTAAACGCAAGGTCTTTAGGAGAGCACTGTTGTCTGTAGACTCAAAAAGTGATGAGTCTATGTTCAATGTTCAATGTTCAATGTTCAATGTTCAATGTTTCATGTTCAAGTTCAAAGTTCAATGTTCAAGTTCATGTTCATTCTCAAGTTCATGTTAACTGGTTGCACTAAATCAAACTTGTGCACAACTTAATTTATAGTAAATGCAAGGTCTTTAGGGGAACACTGTTGTCTGTAGACTCAAAAAGTGATGAGTCTATGTTCAATGTTCAATGTTTCATGTTCAATGTTCATTCTCAAGTTCATGTTAACTGGTTGCACTAAATCAAACTTGTGCACAACTTAATTTATAGTAAATGCAAGGTCTTTAGGGAAACACTGTTGTCTGTAGACTCAAAAAGTGATGAGTCTCAGAATTGCCTTGTTTCTCAAAAAATACATCATACATCCCAAATTCTCTTCTTACCATTTTGGCATCAAGCTGCTGCAACATGTCAGCAGTAAGATAGGATGAGGACCAGCACAGAGCAAAGTATCGCTTCGTCTTGTTTTCCTCTCCATCCTTTAGCAGTCTCGTCTTCTCCCTACAATAACATTGCAGAGCTAATGACCCATCCATAAATTATGTGTGATATTTGGCCATGGTGTGTCAGGTAAAGATCACAGCATCATAGAAGACTTGTGTGTTGAATGATTATGAATCAATAGTTTAACTGGATATTTATATATATCTTTTCTTCAGTTAGCATGACTTACTACATCAGGTACAGACGTGCAAGTGACGCACATAAATAATGAATTGCTTACTTTTCTACAACTTGTAAATCATTAACCTTCACATCTTTAGTCGAGGAATTAATTTCCTGAAAGAGACAAGAAAATATTGCTACACCTTTACTGACCACATTACAAGCAATTAAACACAGGTTTACATAATTTACTAATCAATCAGTGAATGTAAATATTACTAATAGCTTAGTTAATGGTTTAATAAGCTGATATACAGTGACTTCATTAAATGATTTGTTTCCATCGTGTACAGAGCTATATACTTTGGTATGCTCAAATCTGACAGAGCATGAAAACCATACGTGTCAACATCACCCTAATTCGTGGCTACTATAATATTATCTGTGATCAGGTCAGTATATCACACAGCACTTACCTGCTGTAGTTTTGCCACTGCTTCGAGACCAAGTTTATGCCTTCTTGGATTGATGAACTCGATGACAAATGGCCGACCATTCCCGAGCGTTCTCACATCTACGTCTTCTCGTCCTGATGAGGCGAACCTTGTCTCTGAATGCAGTGTAAATAAATCCAAGAACGGTTGGCTTTTAGGGATGTGGTGGCAAATTGCGTAACGCTCCCCACCCTTTCACGTCATGGATATATATATATATATATTGCATAAAACAAAACCACTCGTATATAAATCGCTCATGTGTAACGAAACTATGTTTTTATAAAAGTAGTCATAAATTGATCAGAATTAACTACAAACGATATCTCGTACTGCTCCTAAAAGAACTGCGAATTCCACTGATGAGCAATCAAATCTTTCTAACTAACGTGTGAGTGTAGTTATCACAGTAAGCTCTCTCTTACCGTCGCCCCTTATCATGCAATTCAGTGGCTGAGTAATTATTTCCTCCACAGATGTATTCATCTTCTTCTCACCATCGATGATCCACGGAGTCTGGCACAACATCCTGGAATACTTATTGTATCTTCCTGCAAACACAAACAAAATATGCATGAAATTGGTGCAGGTCGTAATGATAACGAAATTAACATTACAATGGTATTTTATTAAACTATACGTGAAGTGATCTGTAGGTGCATGGTGTCTTGATATGAATAGTCAGAAAATGGTTAGCAATTATCGATGTAATTGAAATAATTATAGTACGTATTTTAACAAGAAAAATATCTGCAAATATTGGCTAACCCTTTAATGTAATTAAAAAATTTAATGAGCAAACCTGCCAAATACAGAGATGTGTAATTGCACTTTATGGTACCGATATCACAGCCTGATGTTGGTTTGGTTGTAGTAGCCTGGAATAATCTGGAAGAACAACGTACTGCCATCAGTATGCATTGCAATTCTTCCACACTGGGTTATTGCTTCCTATCGACATAGACATATATAGATACACACAGACCTAATATAATGAAAGTGTCAATGACACTATAGCTCACCTTGGGTGTGATAGAAGAGGGAGATGATATTTAAAATTTGGTATGTGTTTCATTTATGACGGACCAAAATGTGATCAAAAGTCCTTATTCCCTGTTTTATACTAATAGAAATTTTACTGTTTTGTTTCAGGGTTAGTTTTGATGTGAAAATAAATGTTTCAGATCTGAAAGTCTGAAATCTGGGCGAGAGATGGCGCTAAGCCTAAATGATCGCCATTTTGGTTTTCGATTATCGCGCAAATAAAAGTAATAAAATATTCCAGTCAAATTTACTGTAACAAAGAATCTAAAACACAGTATTACACGTAGGTATGATATGTAGGTAGGTAGGTAAATTTAACAAAATCGTATAAATCTAGATGGCCATTTCCATTATTGCCAAAAAGTGGGCGTGGCTCAAAAGTAGGTCGACTGGCGTGCTCCAAAATAGGACGTTCACTCTCTCCCATAGGAGTAACAACTGTATGCAATTTTAAACATGTGGGTCAAACGGTTCTTGAGTTATCGTTGACCGTAGGCAGACACTGAAATGCATAGTGAAATTGCCAAAATCTACATAATTTGCATAATTTAAAAAAAATATCAAAACCCCTGTGATATGTTTTGGGGGCCAGTCGTTATTCATTCACATACCAAAAATGAGCAAAATCTGTTGAACATGAACTGAGTTATGGCCATTTCCATTTTGGCCAAAAGGTGGGCGTGGCTAGAAAGTAGGTCAACTGGCGTGCCCTAAAATAGGACGTTCACATCTCTCCCATAGGAGTAACAACTGTATGCAATTTGAAACATGTGGGTCAAGCGGTTCTCAAGTTATCGTTGACCGTAGCCAAATGTTGACGGACGGACGGACGACGCCCCATGCCAATAGCTCATCTTGACGATGTCAAGGTGAGCTAAAAATTATGAGTTAGTTTGGCACTTACTCTGAAAACCTTGCATCTGGTAAATTTATCAGCAGCTTCCTTAGCTCTTGTGGGCCCATTTTGATGGGAGGAGCTACCCCTTTGCCATCAATGGACAATTGATCTGGCACCTCTACTCCATCTTTTTCTAGCCTCAGAGTTTCTCTCTGTTGTTTCTACAGCCAAAGTAATTGCATTAATTTCAGATGCTACAGTTGTGATATAGAGCTCTCACCCTCAATGCAAATAACACAAGTACCAACTAACATTATTATGAGTTAAAATTAAATTATATCGGATGATCACACCCATAAATGTTTACACAGATGCTTAATTAATTAAATAATTTGATTAATTAATTAATTAAGCAATGTTTGACAAAAACTTCTAAATTACATCTCCAGTAGACAGTTATACTAACCACATGCTCTCTCTTTAATGCAGTGCGAGATCTATGCTTTTTAGGTGCATCCTTCACTTCTGAGCTAGAAAGATTACAAACATGTAATGTAAGTTAAAGTGCATAATATTTATTTAAATTAAGAATTACAACCCACTTTATACAAAATATAGCTGTCATTGATCAATTTTGGTAGAAGTGGGTGACAGGAGTCACTAAAACTGTAAAACAAATGTTTATATAACAAATTATAAACAAATAAAAAACAATTTATTTTTATTCGCCCTTGATATGGACTGATGAAAATGTGAAAAATGAAATATCCTTTCATTTCCACTAACTTCAGATGAGACATCTAAAGGAAAATACAAACAAACAACAATTTATACTAACATTACTTGAGACAGGACTTGCTTGTCTTGTGTTAGGACATGCATGATCTCAATTTCAAATGGACTCTGAAATGTGAAAGTAAAAATCATTCTTGCTATTGTTAATCTATGGATGGCTCATTTTACGATTTATTATGCCCCTAACAATTAAACAGAGTTGCTATAATCACACAAACGTTCACATTTTCATGCAACTGGACCAATTTTTATTGCATCAAGTATTTCTGTAATATAATTCTTAAATATAATATATGATATAATATATTTTAATCATGAATTAATATTAATCTAAAGAAAATGCAACGAAAAGTACACTAACATACTTTTACTTACACCTCAGCTGTCATACAAAATAATATTAATGTGTTAACTTACAAAGGCTTTAAAAGGAGCACGCAACTGACATTCTATCGCAGGCCCTGAGAGACGCTTCCACACCTCTTTCACCGATACTATCTTGCTTCCCTGTTGTGACATGTATTCGCCCCTAAGACAAAACGTAATTTATTTTAACACAATCCACCCATCTTGATATAATCCAAAGTATAAACACTACATGTTGTTACTGCATATTATAGCTTTGCACTTCATGTGAAAGGATCTTCACAAAATACACACAGAGTATAGTATTTATTATAATAATAATATCAAGGACTTACTCCAGAGCACAATAATAATAGCACTGGACGGAACAAAGCCGACAAGAGAACTAATCAGATCGAGCGAAAAAAAAAAAAAAAAAGAACACAAAACAGAACACCTACAAAAAAAAAACTACAGCCACCGCCGGCACTGCCTAAATATCAAGCTGCCGCTCTGGTGTATACACAAGAAGTGTCCAGATTGCATCTCAGAGCTTCTACAATTCCAATATTTTCCGGGGGGGGGGTGCCCCCGGACCCGCCTACCACGCAAACCGCCTTCCGCGATTTGCAACTAGGACCGTAAAGGCAGCACCCCCATGCTATAATGAAAAAGCTTGCAGAACCCTATATATATATATATATATATATTATGTACTTGGACACATAATAAAATGAGTCTAAGGACATGTATTATAAATGAAATCTCATGGTATTCATATCTTGGAGAGACATACTGTACACATATGTATCTATCTAAACTTACCTTATATTAGGGTGCAATTTTGCCAACTCAACAAATACAGCATGCTGCAAAAATACAGAACAACATTATAATATTCATAGTTATCAACAACCAAACATCGTACATAGAAATATCACAAATGATTGCTGCTACTACCAGTTTATAACAATCCCATTATATAAGCAGTGTTTCCCCTGCATTGACACGAGCGAGGCGGCCCGCCTTGCATAAAAAATTCTCAGCTGCCACACAGAAATTTGTCCAAAACACCGTCTCGCTGACAAAACTTTTAACAACTTGAAAAAGAGATTCAAGAGTCTCATACAATGTGTCCAGAATAGCTTAGAATGCACCAAATTGCATCATTTTTTCAAAAATTCACCCCCTTAGCTGGCCAAGCACATGCACTGCTCACTTTGCTCGGACATCTAAACACGCAAACACGCCACACACAAATTTACCGCCTCACAGACCTTTCAGGCCAAGGGAAACACTGGTATAAGATTTATCAAATGCTATTCACAAACACAATCTTACCTCACGCAGCACTACAGAAAGTGGAAGGTAGATGCTGCAACGGAATGAGTCATACTCAAATTGTTCTTTCTCTACCTTCTGTCTGATCTGAAAAATGGGGTATTTATAAGTGAGATGATTTAACATACGTAAAAATATATAATATCAGACAGAGATAGAAGTAAAGATGCAGGCATATGCAATTGCTTGAGCACTGGCTAGCTTTAGATTGAGTAGTCACTATGCCAAATGTGTTTTCCATTCACGACGGCTTTGTAAATCAATCTGCAGGAACGTGAAATATAATGAGCTCAATAGTAATATAATACACTTAACTACACATAACATTAAAGTATTTACAGATTATTTGTTGTTGATCACATGATATAACTATATTCAGCTGTTAAAACATTTTCTGAACATAAAATTCACCAAAATAACTAAAAGCATCAATAGCTCATTACCTGATCAATGCATCTTTTGTTATGATAATCCTGGAGCAAACCTATGCATGTGACACAGATCTCTGGGTGAGCTAAAGGTTCTTCACTAGCAGCATACTAGAAAGACACATATATGTTTAAGAAAATGTGTTCACTACTTAACTGAATTACCTGAAATACACTAGATTCACAATTTCTTTATTAGTTGTAGCTATTGTTCTGCATAAATTATATATCACAATATCAATTACCTGCTCCGTGTGTGAGAGTTCACTATTGCACGGATCTTCAATTTGTGATGTGCAGCCCTCAATAACATTTAAAAGCAGCTGTTCTGACTTTAGGTTATCAACAATAGCATCTACAACCTGAAAAATGCATAATTGTTACATTACTACCCTTACAAGTTTTAAATGTGCAGAAACTACTAAATTACAGATATGTTGGTGGAAAAATAATTCACAATTTTTAAATGTATGTTTATATTTTGCCAATATGGGCAATATATACAGGATAATGTATTATAAAAAAGATATCAGCTATAATAGGAATTTCTCATATAGAACCTCAGTTGGTTTGCAGATGATGTCAATATTGGCTCCAAGTAAGCGAAGTACACAGCGTGAGCAACACCCAACCTGACAGAGGGTTTCGAGTACACTGTGCCAAGGTATTGTCTTATCCACCTTTCCAGAAAAAAGTTGCATCTGAAATTGGAAGACAGCTCCAAAAACTTGATACATGCAACAAATTAGAGTGACTGACAAGGTAAAGTCAGTCGGATAAATAATTCAACGTCTGATAAACAGGAAGATAAACCACTTAATAATTATCACTTTATGTTTGAACAGAAATGCTTTAGGCTTAGGCACCACTAGTGGAGGGTTTCTTCTGAGGGGAAATTAGACAAAGGAGGTAATGGCCAGTTTGGAAAAACGTGCATGATGGATTCGAAGGCGTGCCATAGGCACGCATGAGGACGCGGGGGGAGGGGGGCTCAGGCATGGCAATCTAAATATGCCATTAGCATGTAGTGATCTATTTATTTTTGGGTTGACACTATTTTGACAACGGCGGGTAAATACAGGAACATTTTCACAACGGCAATGTTAAATTTGACAATGGCAGTGCGCCACTGTGCCTCTTATAAAGTTATGTATAAGGAACCCTGTAGTGTAACGTCACCAGACTGCTATCACGCTACACAATGTGGTCCAACAGATGGCCAGTCACTACAGATTGTGGGCAAGACAGAAATGCTCAGTCACCACAGGCTGTTTCTGCATCACGTTTCTGTCGCAGGGAATATATACGAATTAATTACTAGTAATAGTATATACTGACTCAAAACCTAGTAGTACCAGGGCTCGAATTAACCGACGGCACCGACGGCAATTGCCGTCGGTGCTCCTATCAGTCGCCGTACTGCCCTTGAAAATCCAACCCGACCGACGGCAGTCACCTGCCTTGCCCTTTACTGTAATTGCCGTCGGTGCTTCTGGCTAGACTGGTTCGCGGCCGCACTGTTTGTCGCAGAGCGTGTACATTGTCTAGCAGAGCGTGTGGCCGGATACCAGTCTACCTTTCGGCAAAAACAATAATATATAACGTGGCTTGCTGCCAACCGCTGCCAGTAGACGATCGATAAATCGTGCGCCTGTGTATGCCCGTGGTAAAACACGAATATTTAAATGCTGCACGTGGACTCGGCCCGCGCGCGATTTAAAGCGCAGGAAACAACGCTCGCGCAAGAATGGTCAGCTGTGATCTGTACGGTGTGTAGCTTGTGTAGAATTCATACGATGACAGAAAGTTTTTCATAACAATGGTCTGGGTCTGGCCTAGTGAAAGTTAGGTCAGGGCTAGTGGTTTTCCTCAGTTACTAGCCCAATGGTCTAGTGAAATAAAAAGTTAATGTTGAACCCTGTTACTGTACTTCCATTAGCAGAGGGGGGTACAGGGGTCGGTGTTACGGTGTAAGCTTACATGGGGCGGAAGACGATGTACATGAGGGTGGGAGACAGTCTGTACATACACGGTAAAAAACTAAAGTGCCTTGGTGCTCTTCTCAAATTGTGAGAGTTGCCTTGATGCCTTTTAAAATTGCCTCGGTGCCCATCCATTTTAGAGAAAATTCAAGGCAATTTCTCACATGCCCCCAAAAAATTGCCTTGCCCCTCTTGTCGCTTAATTCGAGGCCTGAGTAGTACTGATACTAGTAGTATTCTTAGCCTAGCAATACCGTTTCTTGGAGCTACTAGCACTAGTAGTATTACTACTATAGTACTAGTACTAGTACTAGTACTAGTACTATAGTAGTAATAGTACTAGTACTAGTAGCTCCAAGAAACGGTATTGCTAGGGTTAGAATACCGTTTCAAACATTGGCTGCAGCTAAACACGTAGTTGTCTTATTTGCCAAGTATCGCCACAGAACACTTTACATGTGATAAACCAAATGAATCAGTATACAAATGCAAAAATTTATGAATTTGCCACCATGTTTGCTATCATTCCGGACTGTGACTAAAATCCGCAATGGATCGAACAAGGGAATTAAACGATCTGCGGTTCCTCATGTTAAACCACCCCTACATCCGAGAACTGTCATCTAAGGTTTTTACAAATGGCCAGACATTTGTGAACATCGTTTCACTTGCTTTGGTGTGTAATTGCCGTGAGAGCCATCGTGCAGCTATTGTACTATTTCTGTAGTATTTTCTAGCGAGTCTTTTCCGTGTCTCTCTTTCAGCCAACTACAAGGAATTGTGGGCAAGAAATCGAAACGGTATTCTAACCCTAGCAATACCGTTTCTTGGAGCTAGAATGCGCAGTGTAAACATGACGGGTAAAGCTGATTGGAAAGTTAATATGCTGTGAGAATTAGCAGATTATACCATGAATTAAGAGATACATTCTAGTTTAGAAGCAGGACAACTGTGAGTTAATGTTCATAATAGAATCATATTTCAAACAAGGCAAGTCAATGAGTTATTCATCTAGATCTGCAGAGGTGATAGGTTTTTTGTATGGAAAGGTGTCAGGCTGTATAGACAATCCGTCGCACAGCCTGGTCGGGCTATAATACTAGTACTAGTAGTAGTACGAGTACAATGACTCAAATGAGTACAGGCCCTGTCATAATATCTAACTAACAGATAGACAACTCAGTAATCATTATGACAGGCCCCTACGGCTACGACGTCGACGGAGACCGATCATGCCTGATCGAAATGAGATTGTTATAACGACCTACTAACGTCCAATATAGTAAGAATTAATTTACAACACGTAGATTGCATTTTAGCGCCCCACAATGGATATATGCACAAATATCAGTAACTTCCCTGACCATTACCTTGTTGTTTAACAACAATGCCATGTTTTGCGTTAAAGGCGCCGCCATGTTGACATCTAACCAGATAAGTTGCACATTTTTATAAATTATATAATTCTAGTAGCTTAAACATGTATTTATGGTATTATTATAAATAGATTTTTAAATTTTAAAACATTAATCATTTGTTTTAGTAAGACTGTTAGCTGTATATTAAAATTATTTAATCTCAAGATTATGTGACTTAGTGAAGCATCTCCAAAGAGGTTATAATTAGGAATATTGAGTGTTACGAGAAAATTGTGTTGTTATTATTATTATTTTAGCCCTACTGAAATAGAGCGCGAAATGACAACCAGAGAAGAGCGATTTCGAGATTACTTTTCCTCAATAAATCCCATTGCCAGAAAAATCATCAATGACCAGGAACAGGTGTGTTGATTGTTGTGTTAGTGTTACTGTGAAACTGTAGACGCCCAACCCAAAAATGTACTGTACACGAAGTTCAAGTTGTATTCAATATTGGTACTACTAGTACTACTATGTTTGCATATTCATGATATTGTATTATATATACAGACTACAGTGTTTCCCCTGCATTGACACGAGCGAGGCGGCCGCCTCGCTCAAATCTCACTCGCCACGCAGAAATTTATCAAAAAACACCGCCTCGCTGACGAAAATTACTGTTCTTCCATCAATAAACTACACTTTATTGACAGCGTTCGAATTAGTGCCGACCCGGAGGCCCGAGGCCACCAAGTTTTTGCTTCGGCCGCCATCTCTACGAAACGGCAGGTCCTCCTGACCGCACTTTTTCCCCTCATATTACGCTGAAATACTACGGTTATGAATATCGCAACGGCAGTTTAGACAGACTTGTAAACGGGAGCGCATTTTAATACGCTCCGTTCCTGAACGTAGACAGGATATCCAAAACATCTAGAGCCGAGGGCGTGAACTCCCTCAACGCATGATTCGCCACACGAACAAAACCTTGTGACAGTCTTAGAAATCGATTGCGAAGCCCAGTGTAGCCCAGTGTTTTTATGACCGCCTGACAATAAGTTCATATGTCGCAGGGGTTATCGTGGGGAGTGAGGGCACGACCAGTGACACCTGACATGCACGTAATCAAAGCTGTTAACTGAATTCGGCACTTTTCTTTACGTAGAAAGTCGACTATTTTTATTCAGTTAGATATCTAGAAGCATTGTAAACTGTAAGTACTTCAAGATTCTAGGCACTTGTAACTTTGCGGATATGCGGCAGCATTGATCTATGCATGGGGTACCCAGGACTGGGGAGGAGAAAAACGAAAGTAAAACCTTTCCCAGAAGCTTGTTTGTTCCTCTTGACAGCTTGAAAAACGGATTCAAGAGTGTCATATAATGTGTTCAGAATAGCTTAGAATGCACCTTTTTTTTAATTTCCAGGGGAGCATGCCCCCCCCCCTAGCATGGCTATCACCTTCGGTGCTCGCATTGCTTGCTTCTCGGATTGCGAAACCACCAAACAAATTTTTACCGCCTCACTGACCTGTTTGGCCAGGGGAAACGCTGATATATATATATATATCAGGAGTTAATAATGACAAAGGAGTTTGACTCGTATTTGGTACTGATTTCACTACATTTTTGTCGTACGAGTTCGATGTGAATAAAAATACAAATGTATACAAACATGAGCTTCTTTTGTTCACTGGTCCTTATTCTATCTTCCGGTAGTATTACAAACCGCGTAGCTTCCTTCGTTTTGACATAAATCATACTTTTGCACGACATGGTTTTCACGTTATTTACCGTCCTTTGGCGAGGCCAAGCTGTAAATTCGCATACACAGCAACTCGAAGGAGGCACGGCAGGGAATTTAGGCCGTATAGTCTAGCAGAGTGCAGAAAATGCGCTTAGAAATTATGTTTCGTTGTGCCCATGCTAGGTTTAAAAATTAAAACTATTTTACATTTAAACTATAGTTAGAATGCCTTGTTTTTATGGTTGAATCCAGCAGTTTTTTTTTAAATAAACGCTGCGCTGGTAAAATATCTGAACTACTTCACCCGTGGAGGAATGGTGTGTATGAATCGTTATGAGTAAACCGACGCTCCAGCCGATTGTAGCTTTTCGCACATGTGTTTTGCATAGCAACCGTTAGCTCTAGTAACTATAGCCCGCGTACAGTTGCCGCTGGCGCTGCCTGAGGCGATCCCTGCCGCGTCTCCTTCCAGTTGCTGTGTATGCGAATTTACCGCTTAGGCTCGCCAGAGGATGAAAAATAACATGAAAACCATGTTGTGCAAAAGTATGATTTATGTCAACACGAAGGAAGCTACGCGTTTTAAAAATTAAAACTATTTTACATTTAAACTATAGTTAGAATGCCTTGTTTTTGTGGTTGAATCCAGCAGTTTTTTTTAAAATAAACGCTGCGCTGGTAAAATATCTGAACTACTTCACCCGTGGAGGAATGGTGTGTATGAATCGTTATGAGTAAACCGACGCTCCAGCCGATTGTAGCTTTTCGCACAATGATTTTAGATAGAATAAGGACCAGTGAACAAAAGAAGCTCATGTTTGTATACATTTGTATTTTTATTCACATCGAACTCGTACGACAAAAATGTAGTGAAATCGGTACCAAATTCGAGTCAAATTTTTGTCATTATTAACTCCTGATATATATATATATATATATATATATATATATATATATATATATATATAATATATATATATATATATAGAGAGAGAGAGAGAGAGAGAGAGATTAAAGGGATACATTTCTCTAGGTTCTTCAGATATTTTCAGCTAAGATAGGATAAAATTACGCTTCGTAAAATGTTTTATGGTTCAATATTTATTAGAAATATTTTCAAGTTTTAAAACTGAAAATAAGCACATGCGTTATTGTGAATATCTTTAATTTTGAAGTTCAGACTGCAGACGCCCTCATTTTCCTGAGGACTCCCTCTTTTTTGAGGGAAGGGACTCCCGTTGGACTCCCTTGTTCAAAAGTTCATTTCTACCCCTGCTGAGTGTTCCTACAATTTACAGAATATTATTATACTGAATACAATTCAGTGTCATATGTGTAAGTATTGGTGTGTTGATAAGTTTTGGTTTGAATTTTGGAAAATGTAAAACACAAGTATTGTATATTATCAGGCATGAGACATTTCCGCAGTTCGGCGGATTTCAGGCCATTTTAGAACTCCAGAGACCATTTCTGAGATCAGTGTAAATTCTAGGATATTTTTTTTTGGGGTGGGGGGGGTAAGAATACCTCCGTGGTCTCTGACGATCGCGTACATGTGAACACACTGTGACTCGGTAACTAACCGGAGCGCTTCTACTCGTATTATTGTCTTAATGTATGCTTGCTAACATAATGATAAAAGCAGGGTACTGCCAAACTTGAGTTGGCATTCAAGAAACGTGCGTGAGATGTTCGGACGCACAGGTTAGCACAGGTTCCTGAATCCAGTAGCAGCGTTGGCATACCAAAAATCGATAAGAAGTGGGTGGAGCTTACTTTTGGCCAGTGGTAGTGACCCATACATTGTGTTGGCCAGGGTTTATTTACGTGCACGTGTCGTGCAGCACGCTCACTGTTCACGTGCGCTAGGTTGTGGAGTAATTCGCACATCCCCGCGCATTTCACGTTTGGATGTAAACAATAAAGTATCACTGGTAGTTAACAAACGATCACTTCAGTATACTGTTTTAAAATAATATTAAGAAGATTTAGGTAATATATCATGTTGAATTATACAGTAAATAATAATAATGGTCTCAAGTACACACATAAGTCACTGTAGCTGCAAAGCACGTCGTATTACTTACTAGTCATGCAAACAGCAGTACAGCCTTGTCACACTACACAGGTTTAACCGTGTCATATTGTTTTTAACGTTTGGAAAAACTATATACATTTTATACGGGGTGTAGCTAAATAAAAGCTTCCCTACGTAAGAGCTTGTATGTCTACAAAATACATTTACTTTGGACACACTCAACACAGACGGTATTCCCCAGTGCCCATCAAAATTTTACAGTAGGTAAATTTTACATAATTTTTTCCTTTTCCACCAAAAAGTGTTGCTAGTTGTAAGCTATTGGAGTACCCTGAAATGGCTCTAGTTTGCATCTCACGGCTTATAATTTTCAAAAATTATCTGGGGGGGCATGCCCCCACACCCTCCCCTTCCTCCCTTTTCAGCATTTGTCTGTCTCATGCCTGTATTATATGAATATGAAACATGTTTGTTTAAGGTGAAATCAAAGTATGGAGATGCTTGGCAAACACTCAGCATTCATGAGCAAGATGAGATCATCAATAACAACTTGATCAATGCTCACGGCAAGCAGTGTGGAGATGACGGTTCGCCTACGACACCGTATCCACCGTCCTTTCCAAAGCTGGTGCTGTCGACTGGAAACAGGGTTGTCGTTGATGTCGCAGACTGTGCCGAGGATTCAAACAGCAAGGCAACGGTACTTAACTTAGAAATCCTTGTATTAGGTTATTTATCGTTATTGATTTTGTGAAGACAAGTAGCTTCATGTGAAATGCAAGGTTTTTATACAAGAGTTTGAGTTTGCATACTGTTGATTAGTTAAAACTATTTAGTTTTGAGTGATCATTTTCGGTGTATTCGTGAATACGGCTTTTGTTTGAAAAGAGTTTCGTCTTTTATCAACTTGTTGGCGTATAGAAACGCAGAGCAATTGACTGTGCTACAACTGAGTGCAAGCAGCCATTTAATGCATGAATTATATGTATTATAGCTGTTCACTACTTAGTATCACTAGGCCTTGGTGTACATTAATGTTACTTCTGTGGTTGTGTGGTTAATGTGGTTGGAAAATGTTTAATTTCTATATATTTTCCCAACAGGGATTAACATGGAGAGATGAACATTCTACTCCTTTCTCTTGGGAAACTATGGTAGGCATGTTGCGCAACAGTAAAACCCATATTTCATCATAAAATGACATTTACAGTCGCACTTGTAATGTTAAAATTTGCATCTTATCATTTGCTAATTTTGCATGTAGTATGTAACCCACCACAAAGAGGTTAATGATTGGTTTAATACAATTATTTAACTTTTGATTTTCATGTATGCAGTAGATCCTACTATACGGTACAGCTCCTGTATTACACATATCAGACCCCTAAATACTGCAGAAGTATTTGTTTAGTGCTCAGCAAATGTCTGTCTGTGTATGCAGAGCCAAATGAACCTACGTGTGGCCGGGGAGTCAGATTCTGGTTACAAGCAACCGGCCAACCGGTCAGAAATTCTGGACATGGATCTTGACTCCTGGCATTTAGAAGACACGGTATATCAGCAATTGTTAACATATATCTCATGTGATTCCTAAATCAAAGTCATTGTTTCTAGATGTAACTATCAATGTCTTAGTGGATTCAGTTATATAATATTAGAAGTTGATTATACGACTGTGTTATTATCTTGCTCTTGTTAATATTCTGGATTGGTAACAGCTAGTGCAGAGTTATCACAGATGGTCTGATATGCTGAACAAAACAGAAACACTGTAGTTGTTTCTCGAACCATCGTTTCATTACAGTTCGCCAATTTTTCACTCTGTTCTGTTTGTTATGACCCTTCCTCATACAGGTGCTTGCTAAGAAGGATAATCCTGGAAAGCTGGCTGTGAGTGAAGACCTACTAGGACAAATTTCAATGAGTTTCTCCAAGCCACCTCCGAATTTAGCAGAGGAGACAGATGCAGGTGGTTACCGCTATGTTATTATGAGATGCTTCTAGTAGCTAAACATGGTGGACTGTTGGGTTTTCTAGTACAAGTTTTGCGTGTACAATGCACTTCCATCAGTAGTGGTAATTTATTTGTAATAGTGATGTTGCATCCGAGTGTTGAAAAATGTTTCATAGAGATTCGTGGACGTGGCGTTAAAATCTTGATTCTTCTTACTTGTCTGTCATCTTAGGAATAGTTTAGAGAGATGGAACATCTACGTACTTGCACTTGTTTCATTACAGTCTATCTACAGTGATGCCAAACAAGGTTTCAGTCTCATTGGCATCGTGTGTTTGCAGGAAGGAAGCGTGTAGCAGAGTATCAACCTTCGTTCAACCGGCCATCCAAGCCGCCACCTCCGAGACCGAAGGAAGCTGCTCCACCCTGTCCGGACCGAAACAAGAAGCCCGGCAGCAAATCTGCCAAAAATTCGCACAAGGCAGCGCCTGACCCAGTGTCGGCCTTCACCGGCGGATCCCTGTTCAGCTACGTCAACCGAGACGACAGTTCAGACAATGTTAGCGAGGTGTCGGATACCCAGACCCAGCAGGAGTGTCCGGTAGCAGACGAGATATGGAATGAGCCCCTAGCTGGTTTCAGTAGGCAGTCATCAACCCAGGTAAACCTTTTACATACGAATGTGTGTGTGTGTGCGTGCGTGCATGTGTGCGTGTGTGCGTGCGTGTGCGCGTGTGTTCATGTGTGTGTGTGTGTGTGTGCGTGTGTGAATGCATTCTTGCCTACTATATACGTGCATAAGCGTGCTTGTGTATGATAGAAAATGTCGACCTTTGCATGGTGCACAAATGCAATCACATTTTTCTAGCAAGATCGAAATAAACTCGTGTCAGTTTCCTAAATACGTGCATGAAAAGATGCTAATTAAATGATTAAGTGTAATTACAACTGATGGTCTTATTTTGTTTTATAATGTGTTAGTCATCATTGTCAAGTGTACTATATAACAGACAGAAAAGTCATATTTAATAAAATCTGCCTCTCTGATTGACTATTTTCAGGATACTAAATCAGGATTTGATTTCCTTGACAACTGGTAATGATCGTCATCCATAGCAAGATGTCTCTATCCAATATGGTTGAAAGAATTGGAACCATTTAACATGCAGATAGGGAACATACCGTGTTAATTTATAGGGTAGAACATTGTGTGCTTGCTTGAAATGCTCTTCAGCAGCACCAGCCCACATCAGGTACACATAATGACAAAATCTAATTACACCCTAAATAGGCAGTCACACTTACCTGAAATATGGTAATATCCAAAATAAGGCACCTTACAGCCTTAGTGGGTGCAGAGTAGTGCTGGATATTTTTGATGTGGTTTGCGACTACAAAACTGCAAAAAAATTGTTGCAAGTACAATTTTCAAGTTTGTGTAATGTTAACTGCGCTAATGATGCATACAGTTTATGACAAATTTATGACTGAAGCCAATGAATCGAGGAAAATTATTTGGCTGCAGATTCTCTTGGAATGATGGCACAACTCTTTCCATTTTTAATCTACTTCCTATCAGACACTACTATCGACCAAAAATGACACGTTATGTACATCACACCATATACATGTAACTTATCTATGTATCCAATATATTTAAAAATGGTACTTTTAATTAACTTCGTGTCTGTGTTGTAATATTGTTTCCGAGTAAAACTATGTGTCCACTAGTTGTGTCTGTGAGTGCAAGTGTTTTTGTGTGGTCGACTAGCTTTATTTGTGAACCTAAAGTTGTATTGAAAGTCTTCCCAATCGTGCAGTGGCCTTGATATTGGCGACATTAGCTATGTCTTAACATGTACATAGATGTTAATATATATAATTATATCTATGTGAACATTTAGTAAGCTTATACATTTCCTTGCCAGTAAATGCAGTAGCTGCTGTTGAATGTATTTATGTGCAAAGTGGTTGCTGTATTTGCTAAATATTGTATAAGATGGAGATAGCTGTTATTTATTCTGAGAATCTCTTTATCCAGCTTGTTCATTAGGTATGTCTATCAAGCATTAGGTAATCTTGATGACGTCTACTTTTGTAGCTGTATTACATAAAAACCTCTCGCATCTATCCTTCAATTCATGTAATTTTTTGTATACTGCTTTTCTGTCAACTTCAAAATGGAATGCATGCAAGTGCATTGGTAGTATCATTGTTATGCTTGCCTATTGTATGTGTTGTGTATGTGTATGGTCAGCCAATTTTATAAATGATATTTATTTGACTTTTTGCTTGGTTGCATATTTATTTAAAAATATTTTTACTTATACTATAACTACTTCAGTATAATCAAAGGTGTCATGTTTTGTACTGGATAGACAGTTATTTGCATTGGTGATTTTATGATAGACTTGCTTCAGGACAATTTAACATGGATTATTAGTAATTATAACTGCATGTCCATAGACATGTCTCGGCATTTAGGAGCCATTGTGCTGTAGTGCTGGAAACTATAATTTACATTTAAAATTTTCTACTCTAAAAGTTGCTACGTGGTTGTTCTTTGCAAAAACTGTTGCTTGTCACCTGTGATATTTCACTTCACTGTAACACTAATGGGTTACATGAATATAATATACATATGTATGTATTGTGTGTATATATATATATATATCTAAGAGTGATTATAGAGATGCGAGTCTTATTATCCACTCTTGATATATAATAGTATTACTGCACGTCTGTTTACATACATACATATTTTTATTTGGTTTATGACCTTAATAGACACAAAATTTACAGTATTGTTTTACAATATGCACGTGCACAAGTAGCATTTAAACTGTACAGGTATAGCAGAAGCATCAATAAATAGACAAACAAGTACCGAGTAGTGTACATTTGATGAGGTTAGATTGCTTCAGATACTTCCAACACTACAATGCAGTTCTGTAGAGATAATACAGGTCATTATATAATAGACAGAATTGAGCATATGTAATATCATACAAGTATTGAAGATGTGAATTCATGCATATGGCCGTTGCATCTTATATTAAAGTTGTTCAGTCGAATTTGTGTGTTCGCGCATAACTAGAAGCACTACGCGCAGGCAGCTAGAGGAAAACTAAAGATATTTCAAAGACAGCAGGTCTGGGAGGTGGCTTCTGGCTGAAACAAAAGTTTAATAAGTTTAAAAGTGAAATCCATTATAAAATTCTATTGATCAATAGCACCTGGCGGTCAGCGTTACGTGACACAAATCACGTCTGATCATGTGGTATACGTTGATGGCGCAGTTGGCTCATTCGTCAACAATCCGTTCTCCCTGGATTCCGGTTTGAGTCCCAGCTGGGAACTTATTCCCTTTTTTCCCTTTACCTACCTCTTTAGAATGTTTTTTTCATATTTATTAATTTATTTAATTAATTATTTTTTTAGTTTATTAATTATTTTTATTTTTTAATGTTTTTATCTCTTTGATTTTACTTTTTTTTATGTTTGGGATGGGTATGACATGGGATGGCAAGATGCGATGGGAATGGATGGGATGACATGGATTGCGCATGAAATGTGATGAGATGGGATGCGCATGGAATTGGATGGATGCATGCATGCATGCATAGATATAGTTGGGATGTTCGTTTTTTTCTTTCTTTTCCCTTTACCGTACCTGCTTTGTAGTGTATTATTTTATGTTTTTATTCATTATTTAATGTTTAATTAATTTATTTAATTAATATTATTTTTTGTTTATTATTATTTTTATTTTTATGTCCTTTTATCTTTTGATTTCTTATTATTGTTTTCTGTTTGGATGGGATGCATGGATGGGAGTATTGATATAAGGATATGGCATGGCCATGGTGGGCACTGGAATGTTATGGGAATGGGATGGGATGGGACTGTGGTGCAGATGGGATGGGATGACATTGGCATGGAATGGGATGGATGCATGGATAGATTTAGATAGATTTTTGCGTGTATTTTCTTTTCACAAGGGTCACCAGCTAGGTAACGCCACTGATTTCCCAGGGCAACGCCGGGTATCCTGCTAGTGTATAATAAAACATGGAATGGAAACTGTTATACCACTTGCAATTTCATCTCGTGTAGCAATATAACAAGAGGCAAATCACGGCAGGTATTCACGCCTCTGTCACGTGGCAAGCATTGTAAATTTAATATGGGCAATTACTAATTAAGTTGTTTACATGTTGAGCTACCACAGATAACGGATACCACGGGCAACCACGTCAATACCTATGTCACTTCAGAAAATGACTACTTCAAGAAATGAAAATGATACACCGAGTGTCTTTCTCATCTCAATCATTGTGATGATAACATCAAGATAACATTAAACCAGCCAACTATTAGCAGCTTGCTTATGCGAACACCAGTACACCTTTATGAGAGTATTGAAGCTGAGAGACCAGGGGAAATCGACGTGAGCCAAAGAGACGGGGGGAAAGAGAGAGAGAGAGAGAGAGATGGAAAAAAGAAAATGATAGGTTTTCTTGGACAACAACATTTGACGTTTTGCAGCCAATTTATACTACTGCCTAAACTGTCAGTCAACACCTTGCTACCGACCTATCACAGCTACCGACCTAACAACAGCTACAAGCTAATAATGACAAAATATATATGAATTGCTTTGGCACTGGCTACCACTGCGCCACTGATTATAACAGAATAAACATTATCTTCCACATAAGTACCATGAAGTATCCCAACGGGCCCCATCCTGTATAACCAATGCTACAGTATCCATGAACTGTGCAAGTTATAACAATAGAAAGATTATGATGTTTGCTTCCTCACAAATATTATTAATTAATAATACATATATAAACTGTCTGCTCAGTCTGATATTCATCTACTACTATTCACTACAAATGTACATATATATCACAACGGTCATAACCACAAATTAGGACAATATATACGAGGCAGGTTGTCCTCTTAATTAACCTAAACACTCTGTGTGTTTTATATAGCTTCGGGATGTTTTGATGGATTGAAGGAGATTCTTAACAATGAAGCTAATCTTACCCTACAGGAACCAGACGTGCCTTTGTTTGTGTACACGATTGGGAATGTTCCTACATGAGTTTCGTCTTTAAAAAACGTTTTAAACAGTGCATTCCAATGCTGAAAATAAGTACTAACCACAATATTGCAATTTTTCTCAAAAAACATTATATTAAATTAAATCAAAGATATTGAGAATCATAGCTAAATGAAATTGAATTCATTAGACCTCACACTTACATATATACCTTAAATAATTACAGAAACAATGACGTAAACATCAAGTTGCTATTATTTCAATAAATAGGAAATGCAACTTCATACACTACCAAATGGCGATTATTTTACTAACACTGATCTGATTTTGTATGCTCATCTAACATGTATGATAGTGCCTGAAACAATGCAGATCAATATGGAGAAAATGTAGGAGAGGGGAACATCACTGGTTCATGCACGCTAAGTATAATTTCCCCGGCAAACACGAGACAACGATGAGAATAATGAACAAAAAGTCGACATTATGATGTTACTATAAGATTTAGCACGAGCTGGCACAACTATTCTGAAGTGATACATTATCAGTGTGTTCGTCACAGATACACGCGCGCAATTGTTTCGTTTATGTATTTTAAACTAAATGCACACCCATCCTGGTGTAATCCTGACCTATCTACGATACTGCATATGCATGATGCCATATAAATTCTCCACTGTTTCAATTGCTTCGCACCAGCCATTCACATCAGCCATGATCACATTACCCTGCGTAAAGAATCGAATCATTAAAACGTAATTGTGCAACCATGGTCACAAACGCAAATTTTACTTTCCCTAGAGAACGATGAATGAACAGTTTTGATGTGTGTATCACAACACCTTCACTACATCGCAGCACTATCGTGAGTTGCATGCAGCTGCTCAAACTTCTCATGAAATTACCGTTATTCTGACAATGCACAATCATCTCTACTATACCGATCATTGCAGTTGGGTGGGCATGATGAGGAATGTATGTTACATGATGCATACCTGGAGAGAGAACCGCTGGTGGTTGAAACATGCTGGAGTGTCCCTCACAAGCCTACCTCGCTAATGTCACCGCTGCAGTTTGCTCCAGTCAAGCCCGACGAAGAACGGATGAGCCTTGATCTCCTCATCGCCATTGATTCCTGACCCTAGCCTCTCATTGGGATTGTACCGTAACAACTGTAAACCGCAGCAGGGGATTATGTTTCAATACATTGCTTGAATGTAAGCACACAAGAATCCCACATTTAGGGTAAACTGCTCCACAAGTTTCAGTAAGAGCTGACGCTACTGCCAAATCACAGGGCACAGTATTTGAATGTATTTTTCAAATTAAAGGAAATTTTTGCCACCTATCAACCAGTACAGCTTACAGCATCACTGCTCACCTAGATAACACATGTCACACTCAGCTTACACAGGTAATACGAGTCACTACTACGTGTAATACGTAATACGTGTAATGCTACTATTATGTCAAGCATCGTATGGTGCCACGATGATTACCATGACAACATACGTCACACGGGAGGATGTACCTCAGTGATGAGGCTTCCTGCTTCAGGAGAGAGAAACTGTGGAACATTGATTGTGGTGTGGCTGTTGATTCCACTCGGATGACAGGATACGAGGGCCTGAAAGCACAGAGGCAGCTCAGTTCAGACAGCCACCTACACACGGTTCTACCACAAAGAGTGGGTGGCTCAAGAAAACAAACCACACAATGATCTCAAAAAAATAAGAAACTGAATAGAATCCTCGCATCCCAACAATGACAAAATGAGGTCAATATCAACAACAACTAAGTCCAGTATTACTGTTATTTAGCATTTATAAATATCGATTTTCTTCTGGATTTTCTTTACTTTGGTGTATCCGATTATATGTGCAGAGATGTGCATCTCTGTAAAGTATTGTCATACTTCGGTGCATATACACCACCTATGCTCAGGAAAACAGAAGTGCACCAAATTTTACTGATGACAACATTGATGGCAATACTAATAATGAAACTATTGAAAAATGCAGCTTGCGCAGATACTCTGCTTGTTCTCGCCATGTACACAGTGTACGCAGTGTGGCGGTGACCTCCATAGGCATAGCTTACCCTGCCAGTGAGTAGTTCGTAGGCTAATGCTCCTACACTCCACCAGTCACATAGACAGCTGACATTAAAAATGCCACAGACCTCTGTAAACATAGCAAGCCATTAAAGACTCAAGGTCCCTACTAAACTGAATATCACCAGTTTTAACGCTGGATATTATGCATAAGAATCAACTGTTCATAATGGTTTAAAGTGGCCGATCTTATCATTCCACACATGTACTTTCTTTATAGGGGAGCCAAGTACGCATGATATACATGTTAACATGTCTTGCAATTTAGACTGCTGGTTCATAGTTCAATGGTAATATGATAAAAATCCCCTTCAGCATCACGGTTTCAATAGAGCATGATTTGCGTATAAAACTTAAAAAGTAAAAGGTCTAAGACAAAAGCAGCTTTCAAAAGATTTTAATGGGCTAACACAGCAACACCCAGTAACAAGTAAGAGAGTTATAGAGTCTCGTATGCATTATAAGTAAGTAGAAGTAGACAGTATACCTGGGGCAGCATAATAGTTTTCCAGTGCTTCCTGATGGAGAACACTGTCCACACATCCCCATTTACTAAAGTAAGTCAGTACTACATGTCCTGTAAAAGAAGCAATTTTAATGTAAAAAAGATATATGAATGAATATGGTTGTTACCTCCGCCAAGGGGTTGGCAGGAGGTTATGCTTTCATCGGCGTGTGTTTGTTGGTTTGTGGGTTTGCGCGTTTGTTTGTTTGTGTACAGCCGAACTCAAAAAGTTATGGACGGATTGTCATAAAATTTTCAGGATAGGTCAGAAATGGACTAACTTAGAATTGATTAGATTTTGGTGGTGATCCGGATCCAATTAATTAATTAATTACTCCCCTCTTCTAGCTGTGTGCCTCGTGAAGTTCCCATCCTCTAGCTGTGTGTCTCGTGGAAGGCTCTCTCTCCTCTAGCTGTGTGCCTCGGGAAGGCTCCTCTCCTCTAGCTGTGTGTCTCGTGGAAGGCTCTCTCTCCTCTAGCTGTGTGACTCGTGGAGGCTCCCCTCCTCTAGCCGTGCCCTTGGAAGGCTCCCCCTCTAGCTGTGTGCCTCGTGGAAGGTTCCCCTCCTCTAGCTGTGTGCCTCGTGGAAGGCTCTCTCTATTAGCGTCTTTTTCTTCTGGCCCGTCTGGCCCCCGCCCGTTCATGCGCGCCCCAGTGCGTCGCCCGCCTGTCCCCCGCGTGCCCGGCC